CAGAATCCTCAAAGCACAAGACGAGGAGGAGGAGCAGCAGCCGCAATATTCCACTCCTGCTTATTAATCAACCAAAGACCCAGACAGAGTTTTAATTCATTTAAAAGCCTGATGCTTAGCCTTCTTCACCCTAACTGGAAAACTCAAAAAACTGTTTTATTTGTTATCTATTGTCCACCCTAGCCCTTACTGATTTAGTTTTCAGTTCAGATAAAATAATTATATTGTGGGTGATTTTAACAACCATGTAGATGCTGAAAATAACAGCATAAACATTGCATTTAATCTGTTATTAGACTCAATTGGCTTCTCTCAAAATTTAAAAGAACCCACCACCACTTTAATCACACTCTAGATCTTGTTTTAATATATTGCATAGAAACTTTGCGTTTAAAAGTGTAAAACTCTTGGAAAATGACTTATTTCCTAGTGTCCCAAAGCTTTATTCAAAGCACACTCTTTGTTGAATAACTGGCTAATTATATTTACAGTATTCATTCACCGTGTCTTTAGGGATTCATTACATTAGCTTAGCTTTTAGCCAACTTACTAGCAGTACAGTGTCTTCAACTGTCCCTCCTGCACCTTAGTCCTAGTAGTCCTACACAGAAACCCCTAGTACACCAACCATTCACATCTAAAATTTTTCCCCACTCTGTGGCACACCCGCCAAGGAACAAACTCTGGTTTGGGTCATTCTGTTTTGAGAAACGTGTCGTTACAAACACCATGTCTTCCAAAGGCCAGAGCAGGGACATTCAATGAACCCTGAAATTGCTGGCTAAAGATAAACAGATTTGGTAAAATTCTAATTCACATCGGCAGCAATTAAAACCTGGATACATCAATCAGAGGTCAGTAAAATTAATATTGAACCAGTGTGTAACTTTACCAAAACAATGTCAGACATAGATGTAGTTTTCTCTCGTCCCCTCCTCAGTCGAACCAGGAATGACATGTTTAGTCACATATTTTCCTTAAATTGCTGGCTGTCTGAGTGGTATCCAAAAAATGATGTGAGCTTTATAGATAATTGGGAAACTTTCAGGGGAAAACCTGATCTTACCATGGAAGACAGCATCCATCCCACTTTGGATGGAGCAGCTCTCATTTCTAGAAATGTATTAAAGCCCCCAAAAGATGACTATCCAGAGCTGGGACCAGGAAGCAGAGTTGCAGTGCTAAAAGCCTCTATGCAGCTTCTCTCCTCCTGTTATCTCCCCAAAAACCCATCCCCTTAAAGACTGTATCTGCTCCCAGTTCAACAAAAAACAAACCAAAACTCAGGAAAAGACAACTTGAACATAAACAAATCACAAAGAAAGACCAATTTAGTATCTATAACTGCACCAACGAGTAAAACTGTTAAATGTGGATCATTAAGCATTAGGTCTCTCTTTCTGAGCCCAGGCTAGAAAACAATTTAATAATTGATCAGCATACAGGGAGTGCAGAATTATTAGGCAAGTTGTATTTTTGAGGAATAATTTTATTATTGAACAACAACCATGTTCTCAATGAACCCAAAAAACTCATTAATATCAAAGCTGAATGTTTTTGGAAGTAGTTTTTAGTTTGTTTTTAGTTTTAGCTATTTTAGGGGGATATCTGTGTGTGCAGGTGACTATTACTGTGCATAATTATTAGGCAACTTAACAAAAAACAAATATATACCCATTTCAATTATTTATTTTTACCAGTGAAACCAATATAACATCTCCACATTCACAAATATACATTTCTGACATTCAAAAACAAAACAAAAACAAATCAGCGACCAATATAGCCACCTTTCTTTGCAAGGACACTCAAAAGCCTGCCATCCATGGATTCTGTCAGTGTTTTGATCTGTTCACCATCAACATTGCGTGCAGCAGCAACCACAGCCTCCCAGACACTGTTCAGAGAGGTGTACTGTTTTCCCTCCTTGTAAATCTCACATTTGATGATGGACCACAGGTTCTCAATGGGGTTCAGATCAGGTGAACAAGGAGGCCATGTCATTAGTTTTTCTTCTTTTATACCCTTTCTTGCCAGCCACGCTGTGGAGTACTTGGACGCGTGTGATGGAGCATTGTCCTGCATGAAAATCATGTTTTTCTTGAAGGATGCAGACTTCTTCCTGTACCACTGCTTGAAGAAGGTGTCTTCCAGAAACTGGCAGTAGGACTGGGAGTTGAGCTTGACTCCATCCTCAACCCGGAAAGGCCCCACAAGCTCATCTTTGATGATACCAGCCCAAACCAGTACTCCACCTCCACCTTGCTGGCGTCTGAGTCGGACTGGAGCTCTCTGCCCTTTACCAATCCAGCCACGGGCCCATCCATCTGGCCCATCAAGACTCACTCTCATTTCATCAGTCCATAAAACCTTAGAAAAACCAGTCTTGAGATATTTCTTGGCCCAGTCTTGACGTTTCAGCTTGTGTGTCTTGTTCAGTGGTGGTCGTCTTTCAGCCTTTCTTACCTTGGCCATGTCTCTGAGTATTGCACACCTTGTGCTTTTGGGCACTCCAGTGATGTTGCAGCTCTGAAATATGGCCAAACTGGTGGCAAGTGGCATCTTGGCAGCTGCACGCTTGACTTTTCTCAGTTCATGGGCAGTTATTTTGCGCCTTGGTTTTTCCACACGCTTCTTGCGACCCTGTTGACTATTTTGAATGAAACGCTTGATTGTTCGATGATCACGCTTCAGAAGCTTTGCAATTTTGAGACTGCTGCATCCCTCTGCAAGATATCTCACTATTTTTGACTTTTCTGAGCCTGTCAAGTCCTTCTTTTGACCCATTTTGCCAAAGGAAAGGAAGTTGCCTAATAATTATGCACACCTGATATAGGGTGTTGATGTCATTAGACCACACCCCTTCTCATTACAGAGATGCACATCACCTAATATGCTTAATTGGTAGTAGGCTTTCGAGCCTATACAGCTTGGAGTAAGACAACATGCATGAAGAGGATGATGTGGACAAAATACTCATTTGCCTAATAATTCTGCACTCCCTGTATTGATGTACCCTGCGTTACAGAAAACTGGTCAAATGAATCAACACCCCTGAGTTATACTAGCTCAGAATCCTCAAAGCACAAGACGAGGAGGAGGAGCAGCAGCCGCAATATTCCACTCCTGCTTATTAATCAACCAAAGACCCAGACAGAGTTTTAATTCATTTAAAAGCCTGATGCTTAGCCTTCTTCACCCTAACTGGAAAACTCAAAAAACTGTTTTATTTGTTATCTATTGTCCACCCTAGCCCTTACTGATTTAGTTTTCAGTTCAGATAAAATAATTATATTGTGGGTGATTTTAACAACCATGTAGATGCTGAAAATAACAGCATAAACATTGCATTTAATCTGTTATTAGACTCAATTGGCTTCTCTCAAAATTTAAAAGAACCCACCACCACTTTAATCACACTCTAGATCTTGTTTTAATATATTGCATAGAAACTTTGCATTTAAAAGTGTTTCCAGAAAACCCTTTCTTGTCTGATCATTTCCTAATAACATTTAAATTTAGATTAATGGATTACACAGCAGTAGGGGAATATCAGAGTAGATGTCTTTTTGAAAGTCTGGTAAGTATGGAAAGAATTCCTCCACCGTTCTCTTCAATGTTATATACCAACACAGAGAGCAGCTAGCTAAATTCTACTCCCACAGTGGTCGATTATCTCATTAATAATGTTACATCTTTGGTCAGTATGATCCTGGATACTCTGGCTCCTCTGAAAAAGAAAACTTGGCTCTGTTGAGCTTTAACATTAACTAGTAATAACTAGTAGAATCTTCCCATTGAATTTTTTTTTGTGTTTTCTTTCCTCTGGGGAACTAAAAGTGCCCACCAAAAAACACATGACATATCAATGGAAAGCATAGGATGTCCTCTATTTAGTACATCAGTACTTAGTAAGGTACACTACAGGTCAAAAGGTTCAGAACACCCCAATTTTTCCAGTTATTTCTTACAATTCAAGTCGTTCAAGTCTAATGAATGGGTAAGTGGTGAACTGCCAGAGGTTAAAAAAGGTAAGGTTACCAAAAACTGAAAGATAATGTTTATTTCAGAATTATACAAAAAGGCCTTTTTCAGGGAACACAAAATGGGTTAACAATTTAAAGCTGTTCTGCAGCAATAGAGGTTCATCAAGCCTTGAAAGCTGTTCATACTAATTCCTACAGCTGTTCCAACCTTTCACTCTGAATACTCTGACAGGAAGAGGTCTGACAGACCCAAAGCCACAACTGATAAACCACAACAGAAAAAAGAACAAGATGGTAAGCTTGAAAACATAGAATGGCCAGCACAGTCTCCAGACTTAAACCCCATCAAGCTGGACAAAAGAGTGAAAGCAAAGTAACCTACAAGTGCCACATATTTATGGGAACTTGTGCAACAGATATGGGAAGAACTTTCTGACAAATATTTGATTGTATTGTAGAAAGAATGCCACAGGTGTGTTCAGCTGTTATATCTGCAAGGGTGGCTACTTTGACGAGTCAACAGTTTAGAATACTTATTTGTACTGTGCTTTCCTTTCAGAGTTCAATCAGACATTAAACTGGATAATTTTCAATAACAAACTGGACAAATTGACTGGCAGTGTAGCTCAAATAAGTCAAAAGATTTTGACCAAAATCAGACCTCATGTTATCTTAAATGGTATGGTACCTCATAGTACCATATCACCCCAACAGCCCCAATCACTCTCACACTGGAAACTTACTTGTTGTTCCTACGGTATTTAAACGTAGAATGGGAGGCAGAGCCTTCTTTCAGGCCCCTCTTCTATGAAACCACCTCCCAGCTTGGATTTGGAAGACAGACACTATCTCTAACTTAAGATTAGGCTAAAGACTTTCCTTTTTGACAAAGCTTATAGTTAGGGCTGGACCAGGTATCCCTGAATCCTCCCTTAGTGATTGCGCCATAAGCCCAGTATTTCTCCTTCTCTCAACCCTTGTCACTCACTATGTGTTTATACACCACTCTGCATTTAATTAAGCATTATTATTCATCTCTTTCTCCCTTCCACAGCATTTTTTTTGTCCCGTCTTTCTCACCTCTATAAGTTGCAGCAGATGACCTTCCTAAGCTTGCTTCTGGTGGAAGTTTCTTTCTGGAGGTTAAAAGCTTTTCTTTCCACTGCCACCAAAGTGCTTGCTCATAGGAGGTCATCTGATTGTTGGGATTTTCTCTACATTATTGTAGGGTCTTTACTTTAAAATATTAAGCACCTCGAGGAAACTGCTGTTGTGATTTGGTGCTATATAAATAATATTGAATTGAATTGAAATATGGTGTGGGGTTGTTTTTCAGGAAGTGAGCTTAGCCCCTTAGTTCCCAGGAACTCTTAATAGTTCAGCATACCAAGACATTTTAGACAATTTCATGCTCCACACTTTGTGTATTTGCGATCATTCTCTTGCTTATACATCCACCTTCATTTTATCATCATCATCCTGGTAGATGGCAGCAGCTTTTTATCATGATCGTCTCAGTACATGTTTTCTTCAATTATATGAAGCATACCAATGCTCTATGCTGAAAAACAGCCCCACATCATGAGGTTCCCACCTCCAAACTTCGGTGTTGGGATGGCGTTTTTGAGACCAGGTATATGCATATATGTCTTGACTTCTTTTCATGTGTGGATTGTATGGGTTGTTACCGACATCTAGTGATATTTCATGTCAATAGCACCATCCATCCATCCATCCATTCGCTTCCGCTTATCCTGGAGCCTGTGTGAATGTCCTGCTGCCCATGTCACCAAACCCACTCACCCTCCACCATCAGACCTGTGCCACCTGCCTGCCAGCATAGCTCTTGCCTTTTTGTGTTCACCTCATCCATTCTTAACTTTACATCACTTTTTATGAGCAAAAAAAGTATTTCTAAGTGCAACAAGTATCATTAGCATTTTCATAAGTCACAACAGTGTACATCATTTATACCACAATGCAGTTCAGTTATTTTCGTTTTAATCAACCAAATCAATTAGTCTAGTCAAACTAAATAGTGCTGTACATA